TCTGCCCATGGTGAGTATGTGCACGTGCGAACAAGCAGCACATGCATGCTTTGTTGCTTGGCTGGTAGGCTGGGCAGTAAGTGACTGCAAGTCAGTCTGTCGGCTTATATGCACTTATGCATTGTCGGTAACGGTATCTCGCAGGTCTAAGTATTCATCTGAACGGGTATGGTTGCTTACGCATACATCTATCTCAACACAGGGCAGGTAGGCAGATAGGTCGATAGGGTAAGCACGCAGCATCAGTAAGGGCACTCACAGGTTTGTCGATGAGTTCACAGGATGGGCATGGGGCAAATTCGCGGAGAGATGGGCACAACAAAGAAAGACATGCAGAAGACAGATCGTTGGATAGAAAAGTAGATAGGTGGAAAAGAGATAGAGAGATGGCAGCAAGGGTAGACAGATAAAGGAAGTCGGATGGCTAGATACTTCATAGACCGATGGACAGATAGACAGATCGATAGACGGCTAGATAAATGAATACATAGGTTCAGGCAGAGGCGGCAGATTGACCGACATATGGATATCAAAGTTTGTCTTTGTGTCTTAGTGGTCGTCGTCGTCGTCGTCGTCGTCGTCGTCGTCGTCGTAGTAACTAGTAGTAGTAGTAGCAGCAGCAGCAGCAGCAGGAGTAGTAGTAGTCGTCGTCGTCGTAGTAGTAGTAGTAGTAGCAGTAGTAGCAGTAGCAACAGTAGCAGTCAGCTAACCAGCGAGAGCCGCGGCACGAGCAGGAGCAGCAGCAGTAGCAGTAGCAGCAGCGGTAGCAGTAACAGTACAATGCGACAACAGCTACTGTTACTGCACAACTCCAGTAGTCTTGTTCTCTATACTGGGAGCTGTCTGAAGACCCACAGCAGATCCTGGCGTGAGGCTTGGGATGACTGGCGTGACTGGTCCAAGAACATGGCCACATGCCGCAGATTGGTGTCCGGGTGTAAGAACGAAGAACGCAGGTCGCAGGGTTTTGGGGATCCTCAGAAGGAATGTTCCGGAGTCTCGGGTACTGAGGCTGGTTCTGGGACACCTTGATTGAAGCGTGCATATCAGCGTCCTGAGCCCAAAGCTTAAGCCGACAAGGCTTTCGAAAGTCCGACTGTGGACTCTGATCAAGCCATGGACCCCAGTTGGACCTCACAGTGCAAGATGACTTCAAAACCGATGTATGAAACTGAATTTCGAAGTCTGCTTACTGCCTCTTCACATTTTCATGACGCTGTTCTTGTGTAAGTATGTAAATTTGCACTACTCAATGATTCGATGCTAGCGTGTTCAGGCAGTTTTGAAGAGCTCCAACCCCGAAACCTCTAATCCCAAACCCTCGAGCACCTCCAAGTCAAATCCCCAAACCCTCTCCCGACAACTTCAAATTGTACATGCTTAGCGGCACCGAAAACCTGGAATCACATTCTTGGGCAGGCTCCGTACTGGACGGAAGATTTCATCTACGACTTTAGCTATGTGCCATGCTCTTGAAGAGTTTATGTTCGGGGTTCTGGTCAAAGCATGCGAGTATCCTTCTAGGTAGCAATCTCGTCGGCACCAAGGGAAGGCATCTTCTTTACACGGAGTACCGGTTCTGTAGGCAGAAGGAACATGTTGGGTGGCTCTAGGCAATCGCTGGTGCATGCAGCCTACCCTCGCCATTGACATACAAACGGAACGTCCTCCAGAACCCTGGAACCTTTCAAGTCGTCGACCTGCTGTAAACCTTGCCTGCAGATTCGGAGCTTGCTTAGGGACCTCTCGGCACGCAGGACGGTTTGCTCCAACTAGCTTTCATGGCAACCGGTCGAGAGGCTTCTGTGATGTTGAATGCCTTGTGAACGGTCGCGTGATCATCGACCAACCGAGCAATCCCACAGAATTTTTGAAAGCTCAGGTCGGGCCCTGGAATTTCACGGCCACACGGGGGCTCCGGGCCTGGTTTGAGGGCCTCTCTCTGGCAACGAGCGCCGGTTTTCGTGGTGTTATGAAGGGGCCAGTGCTCCATAGCTTGGCTTAGTCTCTACTGTAGCTGCCTGACAGGACATCTTCTTGGTTTCAATGTCGCCTGTTTAGAAGAGTGCCAGTTGCGGCACAGGGATGCAGTGGGAAAGCCGAGTTGTAGCTCCATCGGACTTCACATCCATTGTCCACCGTTTCTACTATGCACTACCGCTCGTATCGCAGGCTAAACTTTGTCTTCCGAGCAGGCTGTATCGGCCAAACGCGGAAGTTATCCTACACCATTTTCGAGGGGCTTGTCGCGCACATTCGCAGCTTGCACTCTGTGGATTTCTTGCACTTCGTAAGCACCCCCGGGCACTGACGCGGCCATGTCTGGCACGCCCCCGAGCCAACCAAGGAGAGCACATGCACTTCAACCGTGCGATCCCCGACTCGCAATGGCAGGCAGGATCTCTTGTGCTGTTTTTTTTTTCTAGGGTTTTCATCGGATTTTAACGTGTTGCTACGGGAACATGGGATTTTCCTGCATGTTTACGAACAGGCATGAATTGCATTCAAAATACCGTCAGAAAGTCGGCGGATTTCATTGGCAGTGTCCTTTCAAAAACGTCCATGTCCAGCATGACTGTAAACATACTTTGGATGCACTGTTGGAGCTTTGGTTTGTTGTGAATACGAGATGTGATGTAAAAACACAAAAAAAACGCGACCCCAAAATCATTTGAGCCCCTCTTTAGCTACAGCCGTGGCATGACTGCCAGCACCCTTTTCGCAGTCTAGGAGGTTGGCCTTGGTTTCAATGCCGCTTGGCATACGAAAGTAAACGGACGCGACAAAAAAACACAGATTGCAGGCCCTCGCAAGCCTATCAAAGATCGTGTTTGGGGCTGCCCAGTGCCTATCAACGTTTTTGTTTGAGTTTGGCTTTGCTTTCAATACTGGCTGTCATACACAAGCAAGCCGATGCGAACATATTTCTGGATTTGGGACACAGGCATCGCTATCAAAATCGCCCGCAGGGCGTCGCATGACTGTTGGAGTTTGGCTTTCTTGTTTCTCAATACGAGCCTAGGAGCTGCTGTCAAACACACACACACACACACACACACGACCCACACACGATTCGAGTCCGTCTAAGGGGCCGTGACCCTGTTAGTTTTCTTTTTTGTTTTTCCGGGTATGGCTTGGTTTGCAACCAGAACTGCATAGAATTCAATTTCAGCCTTTCAGAAGTTGGGCCGTGGCTTTCAGTACGAGCTGCGTACAACAGCACACGCGAAAAGGCAATCACGAAGGCGGTCCCTCGCATGGGTGACAAAGTCTCTGTTGGGGTGTTGTACGAGTGCAGAGAAACCGTGCAAATTTAAGTTCGGCCGTGATTTCAATGCAGCTGTCATACGCTTAAACAGTGCGTCACAAGAATCACATGAGCCCGTCTCTGGGTTCGTGCATGTTTCGAGTTTGGCTTAGATTTCAATGAGAGTTGCCGTACAACAAGAATCAGCACTTGAACGAGGGCATCCGGGTGAATTGATGCGACAACTCTCTGTCGTCTTTGGGCAGCAACTGTCAGGGCACTTGATGCCTGAAGTTGGGGAAGCGAAAGCTCTGACACCTTCGTCCAATGCCATTCAGCCCTGTCAACATGGTTCTGCCCAGCTTCGGTGGTTGGATGTTCGGGTCTTGGGCTGAAGGTTAGAGAGAGACGGTTTAGCACGCCCTTTCCTGGAAGGACTTCATCCGCGCGGCTCGGGGGCCTCGTGTGACTTCTGCTCCTTGTTCTTTGCCGCTTAAGGGTGCTCGCAGGCTCGGGGTAGTTCGGGGTCCCGTGCGAAGAGATCCAAGAATGGCTGCGTGACAACACCGGGCTTTGGGTCCTTCAGTGAAACCCCACACCTCGGGCTTAGACCTTTCATTCTCGTGAGGTTTCTCGGTTCTACAGGGCTCTGCTGCAGTGTAGTAGCGCTTTCGTACAGGCTCTCAACCCAGAGTCATCCTTGTGTAGTAAAGCTGGGAACCTGCAGGTCCCGGCGACCCAACACCCACGGAGGAAAGTCTGCGAGAACACCTCAAGGCTCAGTTGGCCAGCTGAGGCTTCATACGGCTTGGCGCGGTGGACGGGCGAGTTCGCCGGTGTCTTGACGGAGTACGTAAGTTTCCTGCCCAGTGTCCCAACCAAATGCCTAAAAGCCAGGTGCTCCGTCTGCCAGGGCTGTCTCTTTTGGAGTTTGAGTTTGAGCGCAGTCATGCCCGATGTGTGATTTCAGTACAAGTTCTCTGGAGCCGTTCCAGATCTTTGATATTACGGATGTTGATTCTGTTGCAGGTTTGTAAGATCGGAAGGGTTTGTCGTTTGAGGGATGAACAGGGTGTTGTAGTGTAGGGAAACCATGTCTTGCTGAGTTGGCGAAGCTTGAGCAAAACCAGAATCCTCTTGGGTCAGCCGCATGCAGCTGTTGCATGGCATGACTGCAAGCCCATATTCTCCATCACAGTGAACAGACAGATGTCGGCGGTCTGGGGAACTTTCCAAAGTTGTAAAAGCCTGAGTTCTTAAACAGATGCTGTCGGCAGAGAGGTCGTGGATTTATCTCCCCCCAGACCCGCGATCCGGCAAGCCCCACCGACTCTCACTGCTTTGATCATTCATGCTGTATGCTGGGTCCTCTAAAGGCTACAGTTCTTGATTGTCATTGATTGTCATTTTTGAAGTATCCCGCCCAAAAGTTAAGTTGGCACTCCTGAGCCCCAAGCCCTGAAATCGTGAAAGCTTGTGTCGATCCCATGCAGATAGGCATTCATGGTTTGCAGGTGAATCCCTCCAATATTTGTCTAAAGGAAGTGGGTAACATGTGAGTTCGCAATACTTCGCCGTGGTTTTAGGTATTTGCCACCCAGGTGTCCCACCGCCGGCGGAGAAGCCAATCGTGCGCATCCGCGATCTTGACTTCTACTTGCTGGAGGGAAGTCGGATCAAGATCAACTGGTGCCTCGTGGACGTAGTGCACCTCTTCGAGCAGGTGGGCTACGACATCTTGCCCAAGGCCCCCATGAGAACTGATGGCTATGGATACCGTGCTCCGCATGCCATGGATGGACTTACCGCTCCTCTCAGCTTCCTCTTTTCGGAGAAAGATGCGCTCGAGTCTGAGCGGGTCTGGAAGGCGGCCTTGGAAGAGGACTATGACACGCCTGACTCTGATGCTGTGTCCTCCCTCTGGGCCGAGAACCTGATCTGGTACGGGCCGGGTGGTGTTGGCACAGCCTCCTCACGCGAGGAGTACCGGAAGAATTGGCTGGCGCCTCTCCGTACTGCCTTCTTGAACCTCACACGTGAGACGGACTTGGTGATCTGCGAAGGTCCTTTCTGTGGGGCGCATTTCTACCTCTGGGGGCATCACGCAGGCACCTGGCTGGGTGAGCAGGCTACGGGACGGCGCGTGCCCATCCGCTGTGGTGCGCATGCGCATGTGGTGGGGGGCCGAATCATCGAGGGCTGCTGGCCTGAAGATTAGGATTCGCCTATGATTTCGGGATGTGGGCTTCGGGATGTCGTAGTGTGTCTTGCAAAGGAGGAGCTGAGTCGACCGAATTTAAGCACTGCAGGTTGGATGATCGTCGACATCCCGCGGGCCTTTGAGGCAATGGGAGTGGACTTCTACGGCCGCGCTAGGCGCATCGCGCTTGCGCGGCGCGAGGCTTGAGCCGCCCATTCGTTGAAAAAGCCCTCGACATGTGTGAAGTCTGAACCCAAGCCTTTGTTCCCAAAAGCCTAAGCCTAGGCCTACAAACTTCCGAAGCCCATCTCAGACACGGTTTCATCGCGAGAGGACTGGCCTCTTGAGGCCCTTCTCTCCGAGGCCTCGGGGCGGGCTTTCAGGGAAGGACCTCCGAGTCTTTTAGGGGTTTTTAGGGTTTTAGAGTTTTAGGGTTTTGAGGGATTCTGGGTTTAGGTTTCGTGGCTTCTAGGTGGATTTGGTCGGGGGAGGTGACTGGTGAAGGCGTGCACGCACGGTTCTCCGACAGCACAAGCAGGCTTCAGAGGCTTTGATTACTGTTCTGGTGTAAGGTTCATATCCAGCAAGCTAGGCAAGCTGCTATCTCAAAATCTGCGGTTCAAGTCCTTGTACAGTCCTCATTGGGGTTTATATTCATAGGGGGAGCAGTACATGGCAGAAAGTCGGTTCTGGCAGGGCCGAGGCGGAATTAGCAGCAGAAGAAGAGGATAGACGTGATATCACGTGTTTTCTGAGATGCAGCGAGCCACGAGACTTGCGAGGTGGAGGCATCCGTGGCGTTCTTGCGCCGGCAGGCAGAAGTTGTGCTAAGGTTTCGGGTCTTGAGCTGTGCGCTTGGGGCTTTTGAGACCCAGGCTTAGCCTTGGGGTCTTGGGGTGGGGTTTATGGAGGCCTGTCTAGGAGCTATCTAAGGGCGCGAGATTACGCAGGGAATCATGTTTGGCCTCATACATGGTGGACACGAGAGAAATCATGTCCTGGACATTCGGTGCTGGGAAGCAGGTTCGGGTATCGTAAGACCACTGTGACCTGATGCCCACGAGACCAAAGTCCAGGGTGAAGCTTGTGCGGCAGCTATGCTTCGAAAGCGAAACCCACTTGAAACCTCAAGCTCTTGACTGAAGACCCGAGGGCCTGAATTCCCAAGCTAGTTGCGCGCTTCAGCATGGGATGACCTCATGTCTTGCCTAGAATGCTTGGTTGTCCCTAGGTTCTGTCTCGCCTCTGTATTTTGGTGTGAGGGCTTCTGCTTTAGGGTTTTGGATGCAAGGTTGATGGTTATCAAGGTGGAATGTTTGCGTTTCTGAGCTAGTAGGGTTTGCTTAGGAGTTTTAGGTGCTTTCCAGGCTCGCTAAGGTTCCGGGCACTTTGTGCCCTCAACAGTCGTGGTTTGGTGCCCAGAAACCGGACATACCCTACACAAGTGACCTCCAGTGCCGCAAACAGACTCGCGAAGCCCTGTGGCTGTAGCACTCCACTGAATCCCGAACTCCTGCACCCCGAGCCTCAAACCATGAACACCCAACGCCAAGCCTTAAATACGAAGCCTGCAGCCCTAAAGCCTCGAAGTCAGAGGCTGTTCGAATCCCATGCGCCAGTTCTCTCAACCCCGAAATGCTGACAACCCTCGGCGAGAAGCACCCCTAAGGCCCTACTACCCCTACCGTAAACACACCCGATTTCGTGACCCGAAGGGCTGCAACCGCTTCGGCCTGGTCGGCTTCGGCCCACGAGGGGGTCGGGTTCCCTCCTCCTTTGGGTTCCCTGCACTTTCAAGAGGGGCTTCTGGTTCATGGGCATTGCGCTTTTTCGGCTTTCGAGGGCTGGTTTTGGATGAGAGCTGGAGGTATTGTTTGGCGTTTCAGGATCTTTGGCTTGGAAATGGGCGAGCGGGCGACGTTACCCAAGACGCAGAGCATGGAGGTGCCCAGGCGCCGTTTGGGCTCAGATGCATCGCTTGGCGGCGTGTGACGTCTGGAAGGCCGGAATAACCTTTCACCCTGCTTGGTTCATTGGTGGTACGTATACGCCGGCCCCCGCAATCCTCCAAGTGGAGCAACTCGCAACTCCCTCAAGGTGAGGATCATCCTGGGGCAGATCGGATGGTCAAGAAGGCCAGTGGGCTGTTTTTGGGTTTGACTAGTAATTGTAGCAATCGCAGGAACGGAAGTAGTTGTTGTGGTGGTGGTGGTGGTGGTGGTGATAGTGGTGATCGTGGTCGTGGTCGGTAGTGGCAGGTGGTCACCAGGTAGGGGCGGCAGTGGTAGAGGTGGCGCTACTACAAGCTTGTAAGAGTGATAATTGCAATAAGAGTAGAAGCAGGTTAGTACACCGGCAGCAGTGGTAGATGTAGTGAGAATATGCTCGTGTGTTGCTGTACACGCACATGTACACATAAACATACACCTGAACATCCACAAATATATACAGATACAGATGCATACATACATGCATGCATACATACATACATACATACATACATATAAATATATATATATATAAATATATAAATATATATATATATGTATATGACATATGCATACAGATGTATGCATTGACAACATGTAAATCTGCACACCAGTATCTGCATTTACTGGCGAAAATGTGTTGAACCACCCCGAGACAGCGCTGAAGCGCCCAGCGGGCGCCCCGAGCACCGTGGCCGCGCCGGCCACGACGAAGTTCACACCACAGGGGCCGAAGGCGGGGTGTGAAGAAGTGGGCGTAGGGAGATTAGTTTCCAACTTCATTGCTCTAATGCGTTGAGGTTGTATAGTGTTTGCCCATGAGATTTCTTGGTAGCCTGACACAAGCAATCGTTCAGCGCAGCTTGGCTGGGACTGTGGGCTTGCCGAGTTCCTTGGTCTCCTGATGCAGTTGTGTAGAGTTTAGAGGGACGTGACAATTGCATAAGTACGTCGCAACTGCTCCGTGACTTCAGGGGTAGTTCCCCCAAGCGCACCAGCCTGCCGTTTATCTCGCAAGTTCTCACACGAGAGGCGGCTATGGCAGCTCCTGTATTGAGAGCAGTTGCCTGCCTCACCAATTCAGCACTACAACTCCGCCCCGATAGAGAGAGAGAGAGAGAGAGAGAGGGAGGTGTAGCGCCTCCCCGAAAAGCCCCAGAACGCTGGGGGGCCCCATGGGCCGGGGAGCCTGACAAGCTCCTCTAACCCGAAGGAAGAAGAGAGAGGGAGGGAGAGACATGCAGTTACATTATACAGTAGCATGCAGCAACATGACTGCCGTTCTAGGCAGGCTGCGCTTGCTGCGATTGCAGGAGACGTGGGTGAAGGGGAAGCTGGAGGTTGCTCACTGTGTCGCTTGAAGCATTTGCATGTCGTGAGGGCAGGGCACCCTTCTGCTTATAGTTGCTATGATATGAACATGCAGAAACGTGAATCTCAAAGTGTGAGCCAGAAGAGCGGCCCTTGGCTTGAAAGCGTGACTGCAGAACCCAGTACATGCGCCTTCGTTTGGAATCTTGAGAACCGATCTGGTTTGGCTGGCTGCCATCATCTCGTAGAACAGCGATATTGCTGATGATGCCAAGAAACTTATGAAGAAGCATTATTGTTGACAACCGGAATAACATGGCACTGGCTTTAAAATTCCACAACTCCGCCCCCCTCTCACAGCCCTACCTTCCCCTGCACATGTCTACAGGTTCACAGACTAGCTGTAGACAGCCAATTTTGGAGCCGTTGAGTGATCCTGCGAACGTGCAAGACACTCCTCACGCTAGCTCCTTCCAGGTTTCCTTATAGACTCGAGTTGCTTGGAGTTGTGCGGCGTGTGAGTTGCAGAGGGCCGCCCAAAAACCAACACAGCAGTAAAGGCACTACGAGCAGCGCTGACCAGGGCCATAGGTTCGAAGACCGACTCCGGTTGCCATCCAAGGTTAGCTGAAGCACGTACCAGAAGCGTGGTGCTTCCCTGGTCTCTGGCCTCAAGGAGATGTTTCCCGGAGACGCTTGGCTGAGTTGGCCTCAGATGCAGACTTGAAGTGCCGTGGATGGTAGCGCAAGACTTGCAGGGCCACCGGCGTCAGCCAATAGCAACCGAGTCCCAGAGAATTAAGAACTCGTCTCGCGCAAGACGCCGAGACGACGTCGGACCAGATCTTCTCGGAACGAGCGCAAAGCCTCAAAGCCTCCACAGAGTCGTCGTGCTCGGCACAGAGCGGCGGCTGAATGATAAACATTGACTTCTCAGCTTGGTACCCTTCGTCCGAAACGCCCCAACCCGACAACAGAAGCCTTGAAGCCTCAGAGCCTCCAAAAGATGACCATCCCAAGCCGGGGTCGCACCAGGCCCATAAACGTCAGAGAGAGTCTATGAGCGGAGAGGATGGCTGAGTTGTCCGAGTGCCAGAGACAACGTCAAGCAAGCCATGGTGGAGTCTATTTTCCGAACATATCGGTCGAGGGTTCCAACCGTCCCTTAAAGCTTTCCATCCCCCCAGATCCTGACCATGAGCCCTCAGCTTAAATGGTACTGAGGCCAGCTTGAAGGCGGGCCTGGGGACGAAGGGCATGCCTTGGGTTTTTGGGTTTAAAGCTCAGGGTTTGCAAGGTAGGAGAATCTGAGAAAAGCCACCTCAGTGGTCTAGTTTGAGAAAGGTTTCGAGTCTCTTGCTCCTGGTCTTTGGTGGTCAGTTGGAAGCAGGTGCCGTGCCGAAACCCCATTTAGGCCTTAAGTCCGAGAACTTCAAAGATTCAACGCTGGCACTGCGGGCTCTTCGGATTACTTGCCTTTTCAGGCCATGCACGTCAGGGTTGAGGTCGTGAAACAGTTGGGACCATGACTTCAGAGGTTTGATGCTTTTGAGCCACGCTTTGCTTTCACTCGCGGCGGATGACTTGGCTTGGTTTGTAGATGTTTGAATTTGGCAAGACTGTAACATGGCTGAAGATTCTGCTGCTGTTTCTCATCTTTTTCGCTGTTGATCTTAAGGGACGGCACAGGCCAGGCTTCCAGCAAAACCCAGTGGAAGGGCGTTCAAGGGCTTATACGCTTCTGTTGGATGGAAGGTATCGACCCCATGCCATAAACCCATTGTCAGAAATTGGTCGGTTTTGGGCGTGATTATTCAAAACCTAAGTTTTGACTCTGAAAGCTCTATGGCCCCTGCAAGACTTTTTTTCTTGGATCATGTTGTTAATTGTTTTTTACACGTACGTGTA